CAGAAACCTCCCAATTTCCCTGAGCTAACAATGTCATTTTTCTGGCAGACGACATAATAATTGCAGCTGTCGGGGGAGATGAGGTCAGACTCCTCTTTCCCTATAATTCCTGCCCTGGCAGTGCACACCTCACACATATTCACACACCAATGGGCACAGCTCTACCCCCTGCCCTGGCAACGGAGAATAAGATGATGAGTGACTGAAGGCCTCTTAGCCACAGAGACAGAGATTGGTAAAGTCCCCTTCCAGGAGTAAGAAATCAGGTACGTGGGTCTCTGAGTGGCGGAAACAGTGTGGGAATTCCAGGGAAGTTGCCTAAAGAGAGATACTCATGTCACTAGAACACAGCAAGGGTGTGGTACGTGCAATGCGGCTATGGTTAGGCCTCTTTTTCTGTTGTCTCCTTGCTCTGTACCCTACACTTCTAGACTAGGTTGGAGGAGCATTGTAGGGTGGAGGAAGAAGGAAATTCTCAGTGCTAGATCCAGATGATGAAGGATTCTGCCCTAGCAGCAGGCCCAGAAACATAATGAGTCCCAGGTAATTATTGCCTCAAGGTCTTGATGAAGGGAAGAACTGTAGTTATTGTGTGAGTCCCCACAGGAACAGGAGTTCCTGAGCTCTAATCTAACTCCTTTGAGCTGAGAGAGAAGGCAACATGTCTCTAGATCTCAAGACGTCACAGAAGGAGCTCAAGATCATGATTGTTTTCCAGTATTTAGAGATAAGTATGGGGGGCAAGAGCCCTGGTTTCTGTTCCCAGAGACTTTAGTCTCTCTGCTTCCCATCACCTAGCTTGAATATGGCACAATCACAGTTCTCTGTGAACCAATCATCCAATTAATAGACTATTATTACACGGTTACTACATGCCAGGTATTAAGTCTAGGTCTCACCTCTGAAACAGAAAAGACTTTTTAGTGCCTTTGACAACACACACAGCAATCCTGAGCTGTCCAGCCCACCCAATCAATTGTCCCTGCGTGAGTCAGGGTAGGCTATGAGGGGAAGTGAGGAGCAGGGAGAGAGAATAAGCATTTATTAAGTTCCTTAATAAATGTTCTAGGAACTGTGCTAAGTGTTTTACAAATAACATTAGGATTAGAAATGGAATTAGGGTTATTATCATCAGTATTTGCCCAAGATCTATTCAATCTTCCATATTCAGGTGCTATGGGAGCCTGAATTGAAATAGGCTGGGACAGACCCTAGCTAAGTGACTCTGGTGAGATATTATTGTATCTTCACTTGAAAACATGGTTACACTATGTTGCAAAGTAATTTTCTAACTCTAAGCTACTTAAAAAGCAAACAGGGTCCCAAAAACTATTTCATCATGTTGTTTAAAGTATGATTCTGTACAACTCCTGAGCAGGGAGATTAGGGTCTGCCACAAGATGCTAATATTTAAAGGTGCTGATAGCAATCATCCTGCTGAAGAAAATTTAAAATAGAAACATTTATTGCAATAGTCCTGTGATTTTATCCAAGGGGAGACACCCTAGTAAAGTAACTGCCTCCAGCAATGCAGCAAAACTGTTCTGCAATTCATAATCTTAAAGATTTGCTTGGAACAGTGAGACATTAATTGACATGCCCAGAGAAACACAACCTGTTTGGTGTCAGAGAAAAGACTTGAACCTAAGTCTTTCTGACTTGGAGGACAGAGCCTACCACACTGCCTAGCTATTGCTAGGCAATGACTTAATTATTAATGACTTAATAATGACTTAAAAGAAGAAGCAAGCAGATGATCTGCTTCTTCCCCCACCCCCAACCCCAACCCTAACTGACAGATTCTATTACCTGTTTTCCTTCCACGATCCTGACAGAGCCTTGTTTTGTCCATAGACATGAGCACCCCCAAAAGTATTCTGAGATTGTAGTCTACATAAACCACTATTTCCTAGGAACCAAGGTCCCTTCCTAGCCTCACTTCTGCTGATACACGCACTCTTGCTCAACTGTATTTCCATTAAAATATTGATTTCATACATTTATTGACCCTTTCAATGAGCACCTTTGGGAGTCTTCATACAAGGCAGCTGGACTCCAGCTCATTGGGTCTGTTTGTTATTCCCTGGTTGTGTTCAGAGCACTAGGCTTTGCACGGGAAGGGGACAGGGGGAGGGGAAGAGACACAAAGGTTTAGGCCAGAGTAGGTCCCAGCCTTCCTAGAGGTATAACTTAATGGGAGGGAATGTGGGCATGAGGCTTATGGGAACCCTAATTCTAATGTCAAATACAACAGGCAATGAGTAGTCCACAAACTCAGTTCTACATGTGGTCTCAGCCAAGAAACAGCTCAGTTCTTGAATAATTACAATGGCTGACAATGGCTAGCAGTTACATAGTGCTTTATGGTTTGGAAAGGATTTTACCTATGTTAACTCATTTTATCCTGACAACTGTGAGAGGTAGGTACTATTTTCATTCCCATTTTATAAATGAGAAAACTGAGCCTGAGAGAGGTTAAGTGACTTTCCCAGTGTCACAGAGAGAGTATGTGTCTGAGACAGGATTTGAGGTAGCACAAGGGCCTTCTGACTCCAGATCAATCTCCATTCAGCCCAAAACAATTTTGCTAAAGCTCAAATCCACCCATGTCATCACTTCCCCTACTCAATAAACTCCACTACCTCCCTATCACCTCAAATATATATATATATGCATATATATAAGCATATATATATATACTCTTTGTTTGGCATTCATTATTCTTCAGAACCTAACCCTTCTCCCATCTCCCCACATTTCCATTCTTCTTGCACTTTGCTTTTGTTGTTCAGTCATGTCTAACTCTTTGTGACCTCTCTTGAGATTTGCTTTGCAAAGATATTGGAGTGATTTGTCATTTCTTTCTCGAGCTCATTTTACAAATGAGGAAACTGAGGCAAACAGGGTTAAGTGACTTGCCCAGGGTCACACAGTTAGTGTCTTAAGCCACATTTGAACTCAGAAGATGAATCTTCCTGACTCCAGGCCTGGCACCCTATCAATTGTGCCACCTATATTTTTACAATACAAATGCATATATAATTAGTGTATACTACATAAAAGTGATATTAATTTACTTATGGTATCTTTACACATAATATTATTTCCCTGCTTATCCTCTTATCTCATGTTTCTTACTAATATGGCCTTTTCTGAAATAATGATTGTTACCATTTTTAAGGTCACATGAAGCATCATTGCTTTTCTTCTAGATTCTAATTTTATTACCTCTGTGTAAATATTTATCAGTCAATTATTTTTTATAAATAACATATTATTGAAATGATAATGTATTCCACTGTCTTCTTCTATTTTATAAAGGAATTCATCCCATTTACTTGCACAGTGATGATTGTTAATTTTGTCTTTTTCTTCACCTGCCCTCTTCCACTTCTTAGTCCATTTGCCCTTTCTCCCTTTTGCAAAGATGAAAGTGACAAGAGAGTAATGTGACTAACATGTGATGTATGAATGACAGAATCTTTTTCCACTTCATTACCCTTCATCTCGTCCACTTGGCCCAAACAATCACAGATTCTTTTTACTCTTTCTTTTTTTTTCTTTTGAAGCTTTGTAAGAGTCACCTTCCGTCAAATGATGAGTTTAGTTTATTTTAATACATTCATTGAACTATACTGACCTCCTTTTCATATCTCCCTCTCCTTTCTCCCTATCCTCATCAATTTTCTTATTGAGTTGAATGGATTTCTAAATTATTTTCTGTGTATGTCAAAATGTCTGATATTTTTGTCCCATTCAGATAAAAGGAAAGATTATGAGGTGCCAGATCTATACATTGTCCTCCATTTTTTATGCTCTCAATCTCATAAGCAACTATTTCATGTAACGGATCTGTTACCCAGGTAAGATGTCTATTTCCACATGGCTTAGGTTATGTTAATCTATAGACGAGTGGTGAGAGGGAACCCTTATGTAGAGATATCTAGACTCTTGCCAACCCTCTTCAGGGGAGAAGAAAAGAGATCATGAAGCTAGCCACTCTGTTTTTTCTGAAAGGGGGTACCAGGCCAGAATGATTTTTTAATATGAAAACCAAGAAATCTAATAACCTTTCAGGTCAAGATTAATTAAAGGGTAAGTATAATCCAAAATTACACCAGTAGGCTTTGATTCATTCCCACTAAGCGATAGTTACACAAAACACATTTCAAATGGTCTTACTATGATCCAGGAACTGTGCTTAGAACTAGGGATAAGAATAAAAGAAAACTTCCTACACTCAAGGAGCTTATATTCTAATGGAGGAACAAAACAAATGAAGAATTACTGAAAAGGGGACAGGAACGGTTGCAGTTGCCTGGGGAAGCAATGAGAAGGAAGTGGCAGGAGACATGAGCCCTGGAAAGCTAAGGCAAAAACTCACCTACAGAAGTTGATGAGCCTAGGGGCAGGCTGGTGGGAGATGATGATCATCGCCCAAAAGCAGACGCATGGCTTAGAGAAAGCTAAAAAGTAGTGTATTACTAGAATGCTCGGTAAATTTTTTGATTATTAAATGATAAATATTAATAAATATTTGTGAATTGATAAGTTGAATTTCTTGTGGCTTAGTCAATTATTTGTATCTGAAACTTTGTGACCCCTTTTGGGTTTTTCTTGGCAAAGATCCAGGAGCAGTTTGCCATTTCCTTCTCTAGCTCATTTTACAGATGAGAAAACTGAGGCAAAGAGGGTGGAGAAACTTGTTCAGGGTCACATAATTAGTAAGTGTCTGATGTCAGATTTTAACTAGATTTTCCTGTCTGTAGGGCAGTCACTCTATCTACTGAGCCCCCTAGCTACCTTGATAATGTGAATATATGCCTCATAGATACGGAAACAGTACTACCTTCTAGGAAAGTTTGCCATTCCTCACATATAATGTAAGTATAATATGGAATTTTATTAGGAAATCCTTAATTTGGAAAACTCAGATTCGCATTGATTTCTCCCCAGCTTACCTCAGATCTCATGGAAAAGCTCTCCAAGACACTCAGGGAATGAACCCTCATAAAGAAGGCCTAGAGATTTTCTACTTGACCCTGCTTTTGTTTGGAGTCTTGGGAAATATGTTCCTTCTTTACCTACATAGCCTGAAGTTCATCACCGCTCATAGGAAAAGACCTATTAACCTGATAATAATCAACTTGGCCTTAGCTCATGTCCTGATGATTATTTTCAGAGGAATCACCATAATAATAAATGTGTGGGCATGGAAATCTTTCCTGGATGACATGATTGGTAAAATCTTAACTTACTTAATAAGAGTGACTCGGTGTATTTCCCTTTGCCATACCAGCTTCCTGAGTGTCTTCCAGGCTGTTACCATAAGTCCAAATAGTCAGATGTGGACAGAGATCAAAATTAGGGCTTCAAAATATGTTGTTCAAAATATGTTCCCTTTGCTCTGCTGGATTTTCAATATTCTGATAGATGTCATAGTGGCTGTGAACATAAGTGATCCAAGGAACAGCAGTAATGAAAGATGGAGGATTGGGCATAGCTCTTTTGAGTGGCATGACAAAAATACTATAAAAATTCTGACATGGAAATCAGTTGTTGACGCTTTGTTTATGGGTCTCATGATCTGCTCAAGTGTCTATATGGTGTCCGTACTCTATAAACACAAAGAACTAGTTCAACACATTCACAGCATGAGCCTCTCACCCAGAGCCTCCCATGAGAGCAGAGCCACGAAAGCCATCCTGATGATGGTGGGCAGTTTTGTTTGCTTTAACTCAGCCAGCTCCCCTTTTGTCATATATATGGCTTCTTCTAATGCAAGTAGGCACTGGGGGCTACGTTTTACTATTCTCCTATCCCTGTTTTATCCAATAGTCAGCCCCTTTATGTTGATCGGCATTGACACCCAAATACCTAGGTCTTTGGATGTTTTTTTAGGTTTAAGAAGGTTCTGTCAGAAAGAACTCTCTTTTGATGAGAATTTTTGGGGAGAATTGGAAAAAATGGGCACAAGGTGGATTAGGCCATCTACTCCTTTCCTCTCCAGGCTGCATGGAAGATTCCTCTCCATAGGACTTTCCCTACATTAGCATAGAAATCTCTCCACTGTAGAAGTACCTTTAATATATCCCACAAAAAAAACTCACTTTGCCTATATGTTTTTCTTTCTTCCAGAATTCTCACAGAGGTACCACCAGTCACGTGAAGTTTCAAAGCTCAGAACCATCCTCATTTCTTCATCCACATTCACCTCTATATACAAATCAGTTGCCAAGTCTTGTTGATTCCACCTCTGTAATAGTTCTTAGCAATAAGACAAGAAAAAGAAATTGAAGGAATAAAAATAAGCTATGAGAAAACAAAACTATCACACTTTTCAGATGTTGTAACAATATACTTAGAGAACCTTAGAAAGTTGGCTAAAAAATTAGTCAAAAAATTAATAACTTTAGCAAAATTGCAAGATATAAAATAAACACACATAATCATCAATGATTCTATTTACTACCAACACAACCCAGCAGAAAGCTATAGAAAGAGAGTACCAGATTTCTAACTAGATTACAAAACAGTAATCATGAAAACAATCTGATATTGGATAAGAAAGAGTGACAGACCAGTGGAATAGATTAGGTACATAATACAGAGTAATACGTGATCATAGCAATCTACTATCTAATAAACCCAAAGATCCAAGATTTTGGAGTGAGAAGGTAAGAACTCATCATTTGAGAAAAAAAATGCTTGGAAAACTAGAAAGTAGTTTGGGAGAAAACAGTCATAGACCAATATCACACACGGACTATGAAGATGAGTTCAAAATGGGTAAATGGTACAGATATAAAAGTTTATATGATAAATAAATTAGGGAGCAGGGGATAATGTTGCCTGTCAGATCTATGAATAAGAGAAAAGGTTTTGGCCAAAGGAGAGATAGAGAGGATAATGGGAAATAAAATGGATAATTTTGATTACATGAAAATAAAATTGTTTTGTACGAACAAAATTAATGCAGCCAAAATTAGAAAGAATACAAGAAACTGAGGGGAAATATTTGTAGCAAATTTCTCTGATAAAGAACTCATTTCTCTAATACATAGGGAACTGAGCCAAATTTTTGAGGCATTCCCCAATTGATAAATGGACAAAGGCTATGAAGAGGCAGTTTTCAGAAGAAGAAATCAAAGTTATCAACAGTAACATGGAAAAATACTCTAAACCACTACTGCTTAGAAAAATTTAAAACATTTCTGAGATAACACCTCACACCTCTTAGACTATCTAACATGAAAGAAAAGTAAAATAACAAATGCTGGAGGGGGTGTGGAAAAATCAGGAAACTAATGTGCTGTTGGTTGAATTGTGAACAAGTCCAGACATTCTGGATAACAATTAAATTAAGAACTACACCCAAATGGCTATAAAACTACATATCCTTTGACCCAGCAATATGACTACAATGCCTTTTCCAAAGGAGATAAAGGAAAAGGGGAAAGGACCTATTTGTACAAGAATATTTAAAGCAGTTTTTTTGGTGGTGGCAAAGAACTAGAAGCTCAGGGAATACCTGTCAATTGGGGGATGGCTGAAGTATGTGATTGTGATGGAATATTATTATGCTGTAAGAAATAATGTGCAGGTTAATTTAAAAAAAAACTGGGAAGACTTATATGAATTGATGCAAAATGAAGTGAGTAGAACCAAGAGAACATTGTACACAGTAACAATAATGTAAGATGATCAACCGTGAAATTATTTTCTATGATCAAGACAGTTATCCAAGACAATTCTAAAGATCCATGATGAAAAAAAACTCCAGAGAGTGATCATGTGATGAACTCTGAGTGTAGGTTAAAGGCCATCTTTTTTTTTATTTTTCTTGGGTTTTTTCTTCCTACATGGCTAATATGGAAATATGTTTTTCATGACTTCACATATATAATAGATATCATATGAATTGCTTTCTCAAGGAATGGGGCAAGGTCAGGATAGAAGAATATTTGCAGCCCAAAAAAATTTTAAGCAGAAGTTTAAAAATTTTATATTTAATTGGAAAATATTTAATGGAATAAATGAAAATACATCTTTAAAATGAATATTGAAAGAAATGTAGTGCATCTGGTCTGTGCAGCTCTAGTTAGACTAGGGCTTCATAACTATTTTTGTGTCACAGACACCTTTCCCAATCTTGTGAAGCCTATGGGCTCCTCAGAAACCTGTCTTTAAAAGCATAAAAATACACAGGGTTACAAAGGAAATAAATTGTATTGAAATTTTCAAAATATTTTCTAAACATTCATGGGCTCCACATTAAGAACACTTGATCTAGATACTAATTGAAGAACTGCTTCTTCAGCTGTGTTTTACTCTTAGAATTTCTGTATCTGTACTGTGATCTTTGGTCCCAATATCCCCCCATTGTTCCATTTCTCACTGGGCTTTCCCTGAGCTGCTGGCTTGATTAAGGGTGAGTAAAGATGGTCTTTCACCTTATAGATATAAACAGAAAATTGTTGGATGTTTTACTAAGGTCTCCTGAGAAATTCTTTGTTTGGCTTAAATTTTATAATGTCTAAAATCACTTTATATTGACTAATTAGAACCTGTAGTTCAAATCAGATCTTTGACTACACAGCAAGTTGGAGCACTGGTCCTCAGGTCAGGAAGACTTGAGCTCACACCTAATTTGACACTCACTAACCTGGACAAATAACTTAACCTCTGCCTCAGTTTCCTCATTTGTAAAATGGGGATAATAAAGGCACCTTCTTCCTAGGGTTATTATAAAGTTCAAATGAGATATTTATAAAGTATGAGTAAATCTTAAAGTGCTATGCAAATGCCCACTATCATCATCATTAGGTTGTCAGTCTAATGTTTACACAGCCATCAGTTTTCCAAACACCCATTTTCAAATGGTTGATTATGGGGGGGGAGAGCCAAGAGGAAGAAATAAAAGCAGTGACTTGCTTGAGCTCTCCACCATACCCCTCCAAATACCTGGCTCTAAAAATAGCTCTAAACAAATTCCAGAGCAGTAGAACCACCCCCAAAAAAACAGAGTGAAACAAATTTCCAGCCCAAGACAACCTAGATGGTTGATGGGAAAGGTCTGTTGCACCAGGCTGGGAGAGGAGCACAGTTGAGCATTGGCCACACAACTAAATACCAGGTCTCAGTAAACCTGGAGCAAACCTGAGGGGACTGAATCACTAGCAGTTATACTGGTTTCCAAACTTCTCAACCTACAAACACCAAAGACAACTTAGAAGGTCAGCAGTAAAGGTCTGTTGGACCTGGGTGAGAGAGGAGTATGGTCTAGCCCCAGTCCTGGCACAGCCCCAGGACTGCAGCTGCTTTCTTGGCTCTTGGCCCACAGACAAAAGGGGGATTGAATGGCTCATCAGAGGGGGATTGCAGGGATCTATTTACTGGTGCCGAGGCAGGATTCTCTTGCTTTTTCCGTGCTTGCATCTGGGTCACAGTTCTGGGTGGAGGTCTTGAGGCAAGGAGGAACATTGGTGTGGTGGTGCTTGGGGCAATGGTGGAGAGGGAATCCTCACAGTTGCAAGGCAAAAAAGAGTACTTGTGGTCACTCATAGACCAGAGCACAGGCCAGAAAAGGAGTAAACACCTCACCCTTGAGCATACCACCTTGGAAGAACTGAAAATTTATAGGTTCCTAGAAATACCTCTGAAAACAGCTGCACAAAACCCTTAAAGCTTAGGGCAGTACTTTTTCCACACCTAAAGCAGATCCCTGCCTTAACAAAGAGTTTAAAAATCAAGTAATTGGCTGAGAACATCAGCAAACAGTGCAAAAAACTCAGACCATAGAATCTTACTTTGATGACAAAAAAGATAGGAACATACAACCAGAAGACAATAAAGTCAAAGATCTTACATCCAAAGCCTACAAGAAAAATATGAATTGGTCTCAGGCCATGGAAGAGCTCAAACAGGATTTTGAGAAGTAGAGGAAAAACTGGGAAAAGAAATGAGAGTGATGCAAGAAAATCATGAAAAATAAGTCAACACCTTGCTAAAGGAGACCCCCCCCCAAATGAAGAAAATAACACCTTAAAAAATAAATTAACCCAAATGGCAAAAGAGGTCCAAAGAGCCAATGAGGAGAAGAATGCCTTAAAAATCCAAACTGGTCAAATGGAAAAGGAAGTCCAAAAACTCACTGAAAAAAATAATTCCTTAAAAATTAGAATGGAGCAAATGGAAGCTAATGACATAATGAGAAATCAAGAAATTATTAAACAAAACCAAAAGAATGAAAAAATAGAAGACAATGTAAAATATCTCACTGGAAAAATAACTGACCTAGAAAACAGATCGAGGAGAGATAGTTTTTAAATTATTGGATTATCTGAAAACCATTATAAAAGAAAGAGCCTAGACATCATCTTGCAAGAAATTATCAATGAAAACTGCCCTGATTTTCTAGAACTAGAATGTAAAATAGAAATGGAAAGATCCACCAATCACCTCCTGAAAGAGATCCCCAAAGGAAAATCCCTAGGAATATTATAGCCAAATTCCAGAGTTCCCAGGTCAAGGAGAAAATGCAAGCAGCCAGAAAAAATATAATTCAAGTATTGTGGAAACACAAGATTTAGCAACTTCTATATGATGGGGTCAGAGGACTTGAAATATGATATTACGGATGTCAAGTGAGCTAGGATTAAAACGAGGAATCACCTACCCAGCAAAACTGAGTATAATCCTTCAGGGGGAAAGTGGACATTCAGTGAAATAGAGGACTTTCAAACATTGAAAAGACCAGAACTGAATAGAAAATGTGACTTTCAAATACAAGACTTAAGAAAAGCATGAAAAGATAAACAGGAAAGAGAAATCACAAGGGACTTAATAAAGTTGAGCTATTTACATTCCTACATAGAAAGATGATATCTGTAACTCATGAGACCTTTCTCAGTATTAAAGTAGTTGGAGGGAATATATATATAAACAGAGGGCACAGGTGAGTTGAATATCAAGGGATGATATGTAAAAAATAAAATTAAGGGTGAAAGAAAATTGTACTGGGAGAAGGAGAAAGGGAGAGGTAGAATGAGTA